ACCAAGAGGAAGAATAAATGCCGAACAAAGGAATTTGTCTTCTTTCAACTTAAATATATGCATTTTGCAAAAAAAAGTGCGTACGCTACTTAGTGCCTTGGTAATGGTGAACTCGTAAGGATCTATTGATTGCATTATAAACATTTTCATTTATTTGTTAAACATACAATTACTTCCATTACAACCCGGTCTTAGGGATGCTAGAAGCGCGAATTCATATAAGGTGGTGTTAGCGGAAAATGAATAAATAAGTTTTATGTATGTATGTATATCAGAAAATTAATAAGATGAAATGAAATTATTGTTTGATTTCTAACCAAACCTATGTATGTAACTCAGTCGCCTAATGGGTTGATGAACCGTAAACATATGTTTACACATCCAATTTCGTGAGTAGGTAACTGGTACTCACACCTTTTTTAAGAAGTTTCACTTCTATCATGTGTATGGTATTACATTTCGCTTCGGAAGAAGAAGTGTCCGACGATGATTTAGATTGTATTCAACGGAACCTTTCCTCTACCATGTCTTCTCCCGTTGACTTTGGCGCTCTCGTTCTTTCCGATGAGGACATAATTAAAGGGATAAGATACATAAAAAAAATTCTTCGCAGACTGATGCTGATGGTCTCTCTGCAATTCTATTTAGGAGTTGTGATTCGCTGGTGGAACCGCTGAAATTATTATTAAGCAAATCTTTATCATCTGGAATTTTTATCGATGATTGGAAGCGAACTTCTATCACCCCAATATTTAAGAGCGGTTGTATGAATAACATTTCTAACTACAGACCGATCTCTAAACTATCAACCGTTGCCAAACTTTTTGAAGCTATCGTTAATGATGAACTTTACTTTCACGTCAAAAATATGATCAGTTCTAACCAACATGGTTTTGTTGCAGCAAGATCTACGCTAACTAATCTTTCTGTCTTCACTGAAGACTGTTATTCAGCCTTTCGTCGAGGCGTGCAGGTGGGTACGATTTATACGTATTTCTCCAAAGCCTTGACAAAATTTCCCACAAAATTCTTTTAACTAAGCTGGAGTGCTTTGGCGTACATTCAAAATTTTTAAAGTGGGCTAAATCGTACTTACATAACAGGATAAGTGCGGTTGTCGTAGATGGTGTTGCTTCGGACCCTTTTGTCGCTATCTCAGGTGTGCCTGAGGGTAGCATATTAGGACCTCTATTCTTTAACCTGTTCATTAATGATATCTCTTCGTGTTTTTCATCCTCTAGGTTTCTGCTTTATGCGGATGACTTGAAACTTTACTCTGAGATTGGCTGCACCAATGACGCTACAGCTCTTCAACTGGAGTTTAATAAGCTTAACAATTGGTGCGTTAGGAATCGATTGTATCTAAACATTAATAAATGTCACAGTGCGACGTTCACTAAACTGCACTATCCCTTGCACACGTCGTATAGCATTGCAAACTCTACGCTTGAGTCGGTTAATGAAGTCAAGGATCTGGGGGTGTACTTTGACACTTTTACTTTTGCTATGAGTATTAATTATACGATAAAAAAAACTCGCTTGCTATGCTTGCATTTGTACGAAGGAACTCTTCTAATTTCTCAGTTCCATACACACTTAAGATGCTGTTTGCGGCTTTTGTGCGGTCTAAACTAGAATACGCGGCATTTATTTGGAGACCATATCATAATAATAATAATAGATTGGCGCTAACACATATGTTAGTGTTTGGCCGAGACCATATCATGCTATTCATATAAACAGGTTGGAGAGAGTTCAAAAAATGTTCCTCCGTTTCGCTCTACATTCGCTAAATTTCACACTCCCGATTCCGTCATATGAGTCTCGGTGCCGTCTAATCAGCCTACTGTCCTTAAATGATAGAAGAACACTCTTGGCGATATCTTTTATTTCTGACATTGCTACATGCAGGATTGACTGCCCGTCCCTTCTTGAGAGGTTGCACTTCAATGTTCCGAGTAGAAACCTCCGTGGCTTTGAGGTATTTCGAGTTGGCCTCAGCAAAACGGCATATAGTGCCAATGCTCCTATTAATAGAACTCTAGCTGAGTTAAACGTATTCGCAAATTCTTTAGACCTAGACTTATCAGTTTCTAAATTTGCTCTTAAAACCCAGTTAAGTGATTATTTTATCAGTCATTAGTGTAGTTTATGATCTCAACTTATATGTAAGCGTTTGTTAATTTATTATGAGTGTGACGAACTGCCAAAATGTCTGTTTCATGTGAATAATTGTCTTGAATAATAGTGGTATTCATCTAGTAAACCGATAACTTTATCAAGCAGATAAT